ACCACACAACCATAATCTAACACAGATCTAACCAATCCACTATACATGGCCTTTAATGCCATCCTATCTGCCCCCCATTCACTTCCAACTAAACACCTCATTGTATTTATTAGTTTCTTACATTTGTTCACTATATTCTGAATGTGCACCGCCCATGTAACTCTTTCATCAAACCATATCCTTTCTTCTTCTTCGTGTTATACGGCGGTTAAATCGCGGATTACTGGTTCATTACCGCCCCCTTCTGCTCCGGAGTGCGGAACGAACAATAGGCATTCTGGGGAAAACCGAGAGAAGAACCCTATCGCCCTATCGGCATTTTCTTGTGCGTATTCATCATATCTTATAAAAACACGGTTCCCTTTAATAAAAAAACGCACACAGTTCCGCACTCTTCTACCGTCGCCTTGTTGAAAGCTGCGCGTTTCGCTGCCTGTCTCACTTCATCAAGTCTTATTTGCGTGATTTTTTTTACCATACTAATTTTAATAAACAGTAACGTTTTCCCCCGTTTTAAGATAATCTTTCAGCAAAGCGGTTTTCTGCCGTGAGATTTTCCGTCAGGCATTAGGTGCCCGATCCTGCAGGGTGGCAGCCGAAGGACCCCTGAGGGAAAACTCCACACTCCTGTGTGTCTGTCACCGGCGCTTTATTCGTCAAAATCAGCTTCTCGCCGCCCTAATTCGACAGGATTTCACTCGCCACCGGGCTCTGGTCGCACCGTGAGCGGCGGAAGCTCCGTCTCACTCCTTTATTTACTCGTTTGTCTGGTTTATCAGCGGAACATGAGCGCTCTGGAGACTCTGGATCGAGTGGAGCTGTGTGAGAGTCTCCTGACATGGGTGAGGGTTTGTTTGCTTTATTTGAGTGCTCGTGTTATAAATGTGATTCTCTATAACATAACGGGTTTATCTGCTGTTTACATCTTTCTCACGAACAGCAAATTAACGTGTTCTTCGAACTGCTTTGTAAATATGACACAAAGTGTTAATCTTTCAGTACCACGGCATTAGCATCTGATGTCATCTCTGATACTGTCAGCGTTTCTTCATAATTATAATCACTATATTGATGATCAGTCATATAAACACCGTCTCTGTAAGACTAGTACTAGTCTGACTAACTAGCAGTCAGTCAAGAGTTAATCAGTTTTACTTTTCTGATTCATATTGGACCGAACTAAGCAAGTCATTGAGTTTTTTTCTGTAAGACTGGTCTTAGCTTTTTAAAATCACTTGCAGACAGAGCTAGCTTGGACTAATTTAAATTTGAAAAGTCGACTGATTACCATTTGACTAACTAGCTGGTCTGACTAGTTCTTAACACGGTGCCTGTGTTTTTGCAGCTGGCCTCTTAGCAAGATAACTAGTTGTAAGACTAGTAGTGATTTGAGTAACCGGTTAATCGTGAGGGAATCTGAGTCTTCACTCATCAAGATCTGTAAATACATTCATTCAGACAATAAATAATTCAGTTTCGTTTCTGAGGATGATTTGAGAATAAAGTGCAATGGAATTAATTCAAATTGATTGAGATGACTGAGAGTCTCTATCTGAGCTCCTATTGATCATCGCATTGATCCATCAGTGTCCGATAAAGCATCTGATTGTGTGTGTGTGTGATTGTTTGTTTGTGTGTGTGTGTGTGTGATTGTTTGTGTGTGTGTGTGAGTGATTGTGTGTGAGTGATTGTGTGTGAGTGATTGTGTGTGTGTGAGTGTGTGTGTGTGAGTGTGAGTGATTGTGTGTGATGAGTGAAGCGCAGTGTGTGAGTGTGTGTGTGATTGTGAGTGAGTGTGTGTGTGTGTGAGTGATTGTGTGTGAGTGAGTGTGTGTGAGTGATTGTGTGTGATGAGTGAAGCGCAGTGTGTGAGTGTGTGTGTGATTGTGAGTGAGTGTGTGTGTGTGTGAGTGATTGTGTGTGAGTGAGTGTGTGTGAGTGATTGTGTGTGATGAGTGAAGCGCAGTGTGTGAGTGTGTGTGTGATTGTGAGTGAGTGTGTGTGTGTGTGAGTGATTGTGTGTGAGTGAGTGTGTGTGAGTGATTGTGTGTGATGAGTGAAGCGCAGTGTGTGAGTGTGTGTGTGATTGTGAGTGAGTGTGTGTGTGTGTGAGTGATTGTGTGTGAGTGAGTGTGTGTGAGTGATTGTGTGTGATGAGTGAAGCGCAGTGTGTGAGTGTGTGTGTGATTGTGAGTGAGTGTGTGTGTGTGTGAGTGATTGTGTGTGAGTGAGTGTGTGTGAGTGATTGTGTGTGATGAGTGAAGCGCAGTGTGTGAGTGTGTGTGTGATTGTGAGTGAGTGTGTGTGTGTGTGAGTGATTGTGTGTGAGTGATTGTGTGTGAGTGATTGTGTGTGAGTGATTGTGTGTGTGTGAGTGTGTGTGTGTGTGTGAGAGAGAGTGTGTGTGTGTGTGAGGGTGTGTGTGTGTGAGTGATTGTGTGTGATGAGTGAAGCGCAGTGTGTGTGTGGATCAGGTTCAGTTCGTTAGTCGATCAGGGCTTCTATCAGTGCTGATGGTGTAAATCTGAACATGTGATCATGCGGAGACTTTATTGGTCACCTGTGAGGTTACAGACGAGAGACGCACCTGAGCAGAAATGGAGATCCGATGAGCTTTAATTCAGTGTGATGGAGGTGTGGTCATTTGTGTCAGATGATTAGAGAATCGTCAGTACTGTTTTTAGACTTTATTTGTACTTCTGTTTATGTTATTTTTAATAATAATATTTGACTAAGTTGAATGCATTATTCAAAACATGCGTGTCAGAGATGTGACTGTGACAGATGTTTAGTGTTTAGTGACACTGCTGTGGTTAAACGCTGCAGACGGTGCTTGTCTGAACAAAAGAGGAGCAGCGCTGTGATTTACTGCTGAATTCAGTTCAGTTCACCAGCGCACAACCTTATGGTACATAAATAAAAGTGTGTTTTCATAAGCTTTCTTACGAATGTAATAACTGTCTGATGTGATGAAGGCAAACTCATAATGTCAGCAGCACTTCCATAATGTACTTAAAGTGCTCTGTTTTCACGCACTAATGTTGTACTTCATATTTTGTGCTTGTGACTTAAGAACATCTAAGTGTGCTCAACTGTGATATTTTGGGACACCAAGAATATGAACTAATATGTGACCCTGCAGCACAAAAGCAGTCATAAGTAGCACAGGTATATTTGTAGCAATAGCCAACAATACATTGTATGGGTCAAAATTATAAAAAAAAATTTATGCCAAAAATCATTAGGATATTAAGTAAAGATCATGTTCCATGAAGATATTTTGTAAATTTCCTACCGTAAATATAACAACTTATTTTTTGATTAGTAATATGCATTGCTAAGAACTTCATTTGAACAACTTTAAAGATGATTTTCTCAATATTTAGATTTTTTTGCACCCTCAGATTCCAGATTTTCAAATAGTTGTATCTCAGCCAAATATTGTCCTATCCTAACAAACCATACATCAATGGAAATATTATTTATTCAATTTCACAAAATTTACCCTTATGACTGGTTTTGTGCTCCAGGGTCACAGGGTTTAAATTTTCTGTATTTAAAAAATGTATTTAGTCACCACTTGTAGTACACTTGAGTGTATGAAAGATGGTTCAAGTGTACTACAAGTGGTGACTAAATACATTTTTTAAATACAGAGATAGTGTGTTAAACGTGCATTTTAGTTCATATTCATGGTGTCCCAAAATAGCACAGTTGAGCACACTTAGATGATCTTAAGTTGATTTTAAGGAGTACTAAAGAACAATTTTTAGTAGATTAAGCACAAAATTAGTGCGCAAAAATAGAGCACTTTAAGTACATTATATAAATGTACTTTTTTTTTAACCTGGGTTCCGTCGAGTTTCACCAGAGAATGTCAATGCTTTGCAGACAGGAAGCAGAAGTGAAATGGATTGATGTGAGTCTCTGAAGGGTTGTGTTCCTGCTCCAGATGTGAAGCGCCTCGCACCCAAACACACGCTGACGTCTCGCATTCCTCACAGAGCTGCTGTCAGACGCTCGGATCACAGCGCTTCTGTTTACAGCTCAAACCAGCGCCTCGTGCTCGTCTGTGATTCAACCACTGCTGTTTTCCAGCTCTGTTTCCTGTGGGCGGGACTTCCTGTCCTGATCCTGTGATGAAATCTGTGCAGCACAATAGCGCTTTGTGTTGATGCTGAGTCGGATTGTGTTTTGATTGCCGTCCAGAGCTCCCGAATGCAGAGCCCTTTCCGTTGAGGAAACGTGAGAGAAAGCTGACTCTCCAGGAGCTGAGAGCTGTTAATGCAGATTACAGTGGCATTGCATAAGCAGAAGTGAATGGAGCCTGTGTGTGTTTCCCAGCTCCACCTGTGCATGTAATAGAACACAAACACACAGGTGAAGCTCAGCGTCTCATACAGTGTTTGTGTGTTGTGTTCAGATCCAGACGTTCGCTGTGGAGGCGCCGTGTTCAGCGGTGGACGAGATGACCAGCGGAGTGGCCATGGCACAAGTCCTGCAGAAAATGTATGTGAAGCACTATTATGAGTGGGCCATATGATGCTAATGAAACAAACTGTGCTTAAAGGTTGTTTTTCTAATGCACAGCTAATACAGAGATTGAATAACCGAATATCAAATAAAACAGCATAGTCTTCACTGTAAGAATTAAACTTGCTCTGTTTCTTATTAAAGCTACAAAAGTCCTTCAGTCGAGAGCAGTGAGTGACTTTTTTCTTTGATTAATAATAAGCACACAGTCGCAGCAGGAATATTAGGCTGCTGTCACTTTAAGAGCCGCATGGATCCAATGTACTGTCACACACATATTTTCATTCTCAACTCTGTACGTTTATTACATAACCGATGAGGGATTATGTGAATAAGCACTGC